ATGTCTCCTTGGTTATCTGAATCTCGGTTGGCAGAGTCTGAAGATTCAGGAGCAAGGTTGGCCAACAATACCTGGAGATCCCTCTGGATGGATTCGTTGTTCGGGATGATTACAAGACCACTCTTGGTACGCATAAACAAAAACAACAAAAACGTCACGGGCACCAGATAGATAAGAAGGAGACGAAGAAAAACAAAACAAGAAAAACATTAGAACTAATCAAGGAAAAACGAAACAAATAGAAACACACAGAACAAAAAATCACAAAAATAAGAGAAACACTGAAAATAAAATGAATAGGCGCACAAAATAAATCCTAAACCTTCCCCGGCAACGGCGCTATTTTGTTGTAGTTGTTTTTACCGGAGTAGAATCGAAAGATTCGAACACCGGGTCGTATCTCAAGGACGGTCAGCCGGATTATTTGTACGGATATTCAATCACACGAAAAAGCAAATAAATTCTTAAACACTCTAATTCAATGATTTGGTTTGATTTATCTACTACGAATTATAAAGCAGATTCTAGCTATTCAAATCCCACAACTCCGAACACAAATTCAAATAGTAAAAAGGGAGGCTAGGGTATCGGGGATAATCGTTTCCGGTTCTCAAAACATTTAACGGCAATTAATTACACAACCAAAGGACTCGAAAAACTAACTCATCTAGAGATTCATTCTCAATATCTCACGAAACAAGAGAATGAGCATAAACGAGCAATTATCGAGCCAATCAGCGCATGGGCAATACATCACCGAACAAGCCTATTCTAAACGAGCCTAGATCGATCGATTTCTCCCCTATCGGTCTTAAAATCAATTAATTAGATTGAGATGGTGATCAAGCATCTAAACCCTAGGTTAAGCACAACTCGAAAAGATTGAATAATTATCAAGCATGTAAATGAGATCGAACCGGAACGACAATCCCCTAACCCTAGCTAGGGAATTTAGCTACTCATAGTGATTCCAACACAAACATTCATATTAAACAAAGCCATAACATTCATCAATGAAATGAAAAAGAAAGCTTACGATAAATACGAATCCAATGTTGAAAGAAACATGAGCAATCCAAATCCAAAAGCTTAATCTTGGTGTTTTCACAATCCAAGATCAAATCCTAATCAAACTAAGAGAAATATCTGTTCTGGAGTGAAATAAAATGAGAGAGGTTCAAAACCTAGGTGAAAAAGATAATGAAAAACTGAACAAAATCGCAAAATAAAAAACTGCCCGTCGCGACCCCCGCGGCCGCAGCGAAGAAAATCTCGCGGCCGCGACCATCTCTGAGGCCGCGAGTTCGACGGGCCAGAAACATGAATTTTCGGGCATCTCGCGGCCGCGACTTCCTCTTCTCTGCGGCCGCGGTGAAGGGTTTCTGCACGTCGTGTTTTCGGGTTCGTGTTCTCGCATCCGGACTCGGAATTTAATCCTTTCTTCTCCAATACGACCCCAACTCATCCATCTAGACGGTAAACCTCGCATGGCCATGCACCGAGCCACCAAACCTGCACATCACCACCGACAAGAAACACGGAAAACCTGGAAAAACGAGCAAAAAGACCAACAAACGACTAAAACAAACGAAATGCACGAAACGACTCAAAACGGACCAAAAACCAAAGAAAAATACCTAAGGAGGGGAAAAATAAGCATAAAATAAACAAGAAAAACATGACGAAAGTGGAACGAACATATGGAGCAGGGTATTGCCGGGGTTTTCAGTGGGCGCCACGGTGTTTGCCCCGGCAGCTTGGCTAGCGAGAGCCTTTGCAAAGACCCCCTCGAGGGCTTTGAGGACATCGGGGTGCTGCATGGCCGCAACAAAGGTAGGAATTGGCGGGACAGGGACTATGGGTCCCTGCTGAACGCGGCGAAAGGTCTCCCCGCCGTTGCGTCTGCGAGACTGGGAGCCGGACTGCTGGGTCGACTCATTGTGATCGGATGAAGACATTTTGAGTAGTTTTTTTAAAGTGAAAGGCAGGAAAAGATGAGTGCGATGTGGAGCTTCACAAGATCGAAAATTGACACCAAGTAACTTATGGAGCCCTCCTTCTAGCGCCAAACTGTTGACGGACGTTTCCGGTCAATGGTTAAAAAGGTAAATAATAAAAAGGTAGCGCAGAAAAGACAAAGAAATATGGTTTAATTACGATTTTCTTGACGGATCACGAGGTCGGCCTCTCGTACGAGGTCGGCACTTGCGATATACTTACACGAGTTTCTTACAAGTTTGGAGAGAGATTAAATATTGAGAAGGCTAAGACAGTTGGGATTCAACAACCCAGAAATAAATGAGGGGGTTGCTATTTATAGTGCTCTTTAATGTGGTACTGTTCAGGTACTGTTCACCGGTCTTATCGTACAGTAGTTTGGCAAGACGGGCCGATTTTCTCTGACTGAGTGGGAGTGATTTCTGGGTCTTCCAATCATTACGTGCAACGCATTTAATGCTGGTGTGGGCTGCATTTAATGTGGACATGCTCCTGGGCCGGGCTAGACGTCCTAGACCTGCAGACTAGTCTGGGGTGTCCCATCAACAATAATTGGTTTGCAAGTGCCTTATTTTATTGCCTTCAAGATCGTTGGCTCTTATAAAGAGCCGGCCTGATAAGATCCCGAATCAGGCTGCACACCAGCTCCTACTCCGGCCTCCGCGGTCCCTTCTCCACTTCGGCACTGACCCAGACCGCCCTCGCAACAGTGGGGGTCGAGGTGTCGACCTCGTAAGTGGGGAAGCGAGGTGCCGATCTCGGGACCAATTTTGACTGCCATTCCCGTTGACTTTGACCTTTACTCAGCTTGGCTCATACATATAAATTTGGTGATCGGCTTCATCAGTCCGGTCGGTCACCGCCCGACTCCCGGTCTCTCAGACCGTTATTTTCATAGGAGCCGGACTCGGATATCAACACAGAGTACTAAAAGGAAGCATATATTCCAATTTAACAGCAGTTGACTCAAGTTAGAAGGGATTAATACTGTTGTGGAGGAAGGTTGGAGTGAACAGGGGAATGGTACTCCTATGTTTATGGTGAAAGAGAAAATTAAGCATACTAGAATGGCCTTGTTGGCATGGCATAAACCGTTGAAAACAAACTATGGGGAGATGATTCAGCTCAATACCAAATTGCAAGAGATGAGAAGTGCTGAGGGGGAGAGGGACTAGAGTCTATGGAGATCATTGACTGCAGACTTAAACAAAGCTCACAGAGAAGAGGAAAAATTATGGAGACTGAAGGCTAGAGCTATGTGGATGAAAGCCGGGGACTGTAATTCAAGGTTTTTCCATGCTTATACCTTACAAAGGAGGAAGAGGAATGCAATTCAAAGAATATGGAGAGATGATGGAGTACTCTGTGAATCTGAGGAAGATATTGTGAACCACATCACAGACTACTATTCTACTTTGTTCACCTCAGAGGACTCTCAGGGAGATGATGACATTCTTGAACAGATTCTTCAATCCATATCAGTGGCTATGAACAATGAGTTGGTGGCACAAGTAGGGGATGATGAAATTAAGAGAGCTGTGTTTTCTCTAGCACCTAAAAAAGCACCGGGGGGTGATGGTATGTCTGCTATTTTTTTCCAGCACTTTTGGCATATAGTTGCAAAAGATGTTTGTTTGGCTGTGAGAAGTTTTTTCTCATCAAGGCAGATTCTAAAAGCTTGGAACCATACTATAATTACTCTGATTCCTAAATGCTTGCATCCTGACTCTTTGAAAAATTTAGGTCTATCAGTTTATGCAGTGTGTTGTATAAAGTTGTAGCTAAAATCATTGCTGAGAGGCTTAAATTGTGCTTAGCTGCCTGCATTAGTCCAGCTCAAACTGCATTTGTGCCTGGAAGGCAGTTGATTAATAATGTTGTGACAGCCCATGAAATGTTTCATTTTTTGAACCGGCATAGAACAGGGCCTCATAAATTCATGGCTATTAAATTCGACATGGAGAAATCCTATGACCGCATTGAATGGGATAGCATCAGAAGAACCATGTTCAAAATGGGGTTTCATCCTACTTTCATCAAATGGGTTATGGCTTGTGTGTCATCTGTGTCTTTTTCATTTAATGTAAATGGCCAAGTTTTTGGTTTTGTTACCCCATAAAGAGGAATACGACAGGGTGATCCACTATCACCTTATTTATTCATATTGGTTTCTGAGATTTTTTCCTCCTTGGTGTCTAAGCATGTGGATCTGGGGTTGTTCAGAGGTATTAAAATTTCTCATAATGGACCTGCCATTTCACACTTCTTATTCGCAGATGACTCTCTTGTATTTTGCAAGGCAAATATAGAGCATGCCCACAGATTGCTAAATATTCTGTCCAAATACCAGGCCTTTACAGGGCAAAAAGTCAATTTAGCAAAATTTTTCCTTTTTCCTTAGCAAAAATTGTTCAGTGGAGGATCAAGAGAGCATTTGCCGTACTTTGTTGGGTATATCTGTTCACAGGTCCACAAAATACTTGGGACTCCCTTTGGGAATTGGGAGATCCAAGTCTGAGGCTTTTTCCTATGTCATTGAGGCTGTCAGAAACAGTATTTGCAGTTGGAAGAACAAGTTTCTATCCACAGCTGGGAAAGATGTGCTAATCAGGTCAGTACTTAATGCACTACCTGTTTTTGTCATGTCTGTGTTCTTGCTTTCAGTTGGAGTGTGTAAGGAGGTGAGTAAGATGATTGCTGACTTTTGGTGGAGTAAGGGTGAGGAACTACTACAAGGCTATCATTGGAAGTCCTGGGATAAACTCTCACTGCCAAAGCAAGCAGGGGGTTTGGGGTTCATGGACCTCATTATGTTTAATAGAGCTCTTATATGTAAACAAATATGGAGAATTGTGCATAATCCCGAGTTATTGGTTAGTAAGGTACTCAAGCATAAATACTATCCTGACTGTTCCATTTTTTAGTATCAAAAGAAGCAAGGGGTGTCATGGCTGTGGAGTTTCTGGTCTTCATTGATTTATATTCTGAAAGAAGGTGTCTAGATCACTATAAGGGATGGGGCTGCTACCTGCATCTCTGATTTTAACTGGGTTCCTGATATCCCAGGTGGTCAACCAAGACTTAGGCTGCAAGATGTGGGCACTTCTCTGAGAGTGAAAGATCTTCTGTGCAATGGGGGGACTACATGGGATTCTCAGGTTGTGAAAGTTTTGTTCATGGTAGAAGATGCAGAGAAAATTCTAAAAATTAACACACTTAATCCTTCATTGCCTGATAGGAAGAAGTGTGCTTTTATGGTGAATGGTAATCTGTCTTTTAAATCTTTATACTCCTGTCTAATTGCTGAAAAAGTGGTGAAATTTGCTGAGGCTGAGAGCAGCAATACTGCCTCTTTAAATCAGAAAGCTCGCATGAGATGCTGGAAATTGAAGGTTATGGGAAAGGTAAAACATTTTCTTTGGAAATGTATTTCCAATATACTGCCGGTGGGAGCTAATGTGAAAAAGAAAGGAGTATGCATATATAGTATTTGTAAAATTTGCGGGGAGGCTGAGGAGACCTAAGAACACATTTTCTTTCAATGTCCTAAAGCAAGGAGGATATGGAAATTGGCACCAGTCCAATGGGATTTTGCCAAACCAGAGCAGTTAAAGAGTGGTGGTGGGGGCTCTGTAAGATGGATTATAAAGCCACGTCGGTGGATCGAATTCAACTCTCAACCTACATCATGTGGTGGCTATGGAAGGGGCGCAATCTATGGGTATTTGAAAGCATATGGAAACCAGAGCTGGTGATTGTTCAAGCTGCCTGGCAGGATTGGCATGACTTTAAATGAGTAAACTGTAAGATGGCAGGAAGGTGGCTGGAGAATGTTAGGTCTCGTGTCAGTGATATTCTCTTGTTTCCTTGTTTTGTTATGCTATATATTTGTATTTCTGAGTTTGAGTCCTTGTAGACTGTATCAGGTTGGCTAATTTATGTATTATGTATTGATGTTGGGGAGTTGGAGGCTTCAGTCATGATAGGCTGTCTTTGATCCTGTTTGGATGTTCTAGCTTTGTTATTGGTAGATTTAGACTGCGAGTAGTTTGCAGTTCTCTCAGGTGTGTCGGCTTGAGGCTGTCCTCGTTTGTATTGTTGACCAATTTGGGCTGTTTGGCCGGTTTTTTTTATATGAGTATCTCTATCGTTGGAAAAAAAAAGAAATATACCTTCAATTTTGCGTGCGCTCACCGATTTAAGAGGCTACAACGCACTTATTACAAGAGTAAAATCTTTTTCAAGAAAAGAATAAAAAATTAGACTTATTAACGTAAACAAAAAAAATTATATGGTTTTTATTCATTTAAAAATATTGACCTTTAACGATATATAAAGGGTTAATTGCCTTAAAAATCACCACCTTTACTTAAATTGCAACAAAAACTCAACCTTTTAATTTTTGCACAAAAAATACAAACCTTGTTTAATTTTTGCAATTGTGTCTCAAACAGATTTTCCGGCCAAAACTTAATGACGTGGCCATCGGAAAAATGACATGGCACACCAACTCAATTCTTCCTGCCACGTCATCGGACACATGTGTTTACACCTTACCCAGATCCAACTCACCTTCCACGTAACACAAAAAATAGATCTGACTTTTCCTTCCTCCCCATTCTTGCGCGCATCACAAATAAGAGAAAAAGGAACGAGGCGAATTTCTTCCCCCACCGACGACGACCGATCTCTTCTCCTTTCTTCTTCCATCCACCGATTTCTTCTCCCTTCTTCTCCACTCCAGCGGACTCCAGTTGTGCGAATTCATGGCTTGACCTCCAGCGATTCTCCAGATCTTGATTGGTGAAGGTTGTTCGAGTCACATAACCCTAAATGGAGAACGGGTAAATGGTTCTTATTCACTAATCTTTTTTTTTCGTTTTTTTTGAGTTCATATTTTGCTATGAATTTGACTAACTTAATAAAGGCAGTTTTTTTTTTTTTTTTCAAATGGTGTTTGTACAGGCTGGTTTGGTTTGATTAGAAAACACTAATATTTTTCCACTTTGTTTCTTGATTGAGCTTGTTGGTTGTTTATTGTTAACATTTGTTTCCTACTCTATTAAACTGTGAGTTTTCCTTATTTTTTGTGAAGGTGATGAATTGGGGTCTTTTCGGTTTGGTGTTACTGAGTGTTTTGAAAGGATATGGCTGATTATAATAATTGTTGTTGATTTGATATAAAAATAATAAAATATTAATTAATAAGATTGTTACTTAGAAAATATATGGCTGGATCAATATTATTCTTGTATAGAAATATATAGTATGGTTGCTTCCTATCTTTTAATTGCGTTAGTTTTTTAATGGATTTGTACAAGGAGTTTTTGCCTATATTTACTTTTCTTGCAGGGATGAGTTTTCCATTTATTTGAATCATGGTGGCAAATTTAATAGCAAGATGGAACATTTCGCGGCGACCGAAATCTTGGGTCTAGATACCATTTTCTGCAGGGAAAATTTCGCGGCCTCGGAGTTTTCCCGCGACCGCGGAGCAGGGTCGCGGCCGCGGTACCTTTGTTCACCGAGGCCGCTGTGATGTTTTTTTGGGTCCAGGAGCTCGAAGTCCAGCACTTCAAATCTCGCGGCCATGGAGTAACCTCGCGACCGCGGACTCGAGTTGCGGCCGCGAGCCGTTTATTCGCCGCGGCCGCGGCGAAGGATCTTTCGCAAACCCCAGATTTCTGCACAGAAAAGCTCGCGGCCGCGGGTTGTGTCGCTGTCGCGACGGACGCGATTAAAAAAAAAAAAGGGGCCCTTTGACAGATTTTTGGGCATTCTTTCTAATTTTCTTTTCTTGCGATCGGTTTCTTACTAATCCCTGAATTATTTCAGAAATTCGTCATCCCAATCACAGTGTGTCCCTTCGAGATTTTCGCAAGGAATTCTACCGGCTAGTTCGAATTTGAGTTCGGGAACCCTAGCTTTCCTCACGGGCCCGCGCGCAGCACCGTCGCCGTCGTCTCTCCGGCGAGTCTCTCCGACTATTCCCTTCTCAGTCATTAGGCGACCTCCGACCACGAGTCCCGGTTCACATTCCTCCACATTTGTCATTTCTACCTTGCTCGTGGATTGCTCGTTCCGGGCCCGAATTAGCGCGAAAAGGTACCGATAGCTCACTATACACTGAAATTGATTGCTTGTTGTGGCAAGAGGAGGCCAACTCCGGGTTCGAGCGGTTTCACATTGTTCTCAAGCCTTTAGTTCAAAATACCGCACGCCACGTGTTCGACATATTGCCCGATAGACCGTTCAAATGAGCAAAAATCCGTTTCGACCCACCAAGAAGAAAACCGCCCAAGAACCGGCTAAGAAGCGCAAAGCGGGCGAGTCCTCCTCTCGCGATGCCCCTCCGATCGATGAACGTGATGACCTTTCGGACTAATACGGTGCTCCGTTCCCGATTTATTCTAGGAAGGAGGGCGAGATTTACGCCCGTCTCTCGCAAAAAGAGGTAGTGAGACCGAAGGCGGTGGACTGGGACCTCTTGAACGACTTGGGCATTCTCGAGGACGTGATGAAGTACCTCAAGGTTTTGAACCTAACCGACTACGCCAAAATAGAAGAGAGGTCACATCGAACCCTCATGCTTGAGTTCTTCAGCACATTCGTTCTCGCCGATGGGAACGAATACTTCACTTGTCGGCTTAAGGGGAAGGATTTCAAGGTGGACAATGACGTAATGAAGAAAGTCTGTGGTTTCAATTTCTCCGGTACGAGAAGCAAAGCCCTCGATTTCGACGCTAAGAAGAGTTGGGCCGAGCTTTCCCCGCATACGACTTGGGATTCCGCCGGCATGTCAAACGGGCTTATTGAAGACCTGGCCACTGCCGTTGTGCATCGGTTCATCTGCTACAACATTACCGGCAAGAAGGAGGCAAATAAAGTCAGTGAAGTCGAACTTTTCCTCCTATGGGCGATGCGAGCAGGAGTGCGGGTGTGTTCGATGACGTTCCTACAGAACTCCTTACAGGAGATTGCCCTCACTCGGCGTGGACTACCGGCACTTGGGCACTTTGTTACCGCACTCGCGAACCACTTCGACGTCACTCCAGAGGCCTACCTATTACATGGAGTGATAGTGCTTCAAGAAAGGTCTGAGATGCGATGCCTCAACTACAATGAACTCAAGCAAGCCGACCTTATTCAGAACCGGACAACGGCTAAAGAGTACACGAAGCGCACGGCCTACGACACCTATTTTAAAAAGCTCCAGCAGGGTCAGCCTACTTCCGATCCAGCAGGCTCGTCTCGGCAACCGACGGCGGGAGATGAGCATGAGCAGATGGATGTCGACGATGACCATTACCTTTCGCCTCCACCCAAGTGGACGCCGGCCCCAAACCCTCACCAGGAGATCCCTCCACAGCAGCCACCGGCTTGGTGGACCACATTTCAGACTCAGTACACAGCCGACATCCGCTCTATCCACGATCGCTTCGATGCCCAGGACAGCCGATGGGCCAATCTCGAGAACCGACAGACCACACAGTGGACCACCTGGGAGACACAGCAGAAGGATCGGTGGGACCATTGGGAGACCCAGCAGCAGACCCACTGGACTCAGATGGGCACACACTTCGATGGCTTCTCCGACGGTCTCCGGTCCATTCGCGAGCGACAAGACCGACAGGATGCTCGGATGGATGGTTGGGATCAGCGGTTCACTGAGTGGGACACCCGTTGGGGTTCGGGAGCCGGTCAGCCTCAACCGCCACAATCACCTCCGGCTGCACAGTGACTTGTCACGGCAGATTTTTTATTTCTGATTTTTGGCCAGTTTTTGATCACGTTCTTTTCTAGGTTTGATTGCTCTCTGGCATTTTTGAAACTCGAGAACTCAGTTTTCTTCTACCTTTCACTTAGATTTGATCTTGGGTTGTTAAAACACCAAGGTTTAACTCGTGGAATTTTGGATATTCGTGGATTTTCGACATTGGTTTCACTTTTTTAATCTTAAGTTTCCTTTTCATTTCATTCATGACTGTGATTGCTTGGATTGATGTGGATGTTGATGTCGAATTTGCGATGAGTGGCTAAATTCCTAACTAGGGTTAGGGGATAATTGTTCCGGTTTAATTTCGTTTGTGTGTATGATGATTGCTCAATCTATTCGTGTTGTTTTGAACCTAGGGTTGAATGATTGATCACCATTTTAATCCATTTAATCGATTGTTAGAACCGAAAGGGGAGGAATCGATTGATCTAGGCTCGTTTAGAGTAGACTTGTTCGGAGACGTATTGTCTATGTGCTAATCGATCTTACATTTATGAACTTATTCAAATTGAGGCGTTGGGGCACATCAGGAGAAGCAAAAGCATTTTGAGAATTAGATGTCAATATTATGGCAGGAAAACATCAGAAAGTGTAACAAATACATGTGCACCCAAAAACATATCTAATTATTCATCACACGCATTCATTTCCAAAAGTGAACATTTAGTCTACAAAGGTAACAATGTTACTACAAAAGTTTCAACATCATCAAAATACATTCTTACAACCATACTTTACAGGAGCATATAAAAGAGTGAAACAAAGATAACAATGAACCAAAATGTAAATTTCATAAATGTGAGCTTCTTTTCCAATCTTCGAGCTTCAGTGACTACACCATCAAGTCTCAACTGCAATTCAACTTTTTCTGTTGCTTGAATCTCTAATTTGTTCATCATCTCATTGTTCTCATCTTTCAACTTTAGTATCTCGGTAGCCTTCAACTCCTGACTCTCTGATAGCAGTTGCTCCATTAAATTTTTTCTCGTTACTTGCTCCCGCAACCTATCCTTTTCAGCCTTAAGCTTATTAAAACAACTCTTTTGGAACGGCGGCACATCGGGATCAATCCAAACAAACATGCCACAATCATACTTTTCGTTGGAGTCCTTGGAGTTAGACTTGGACTTATCCTTGGACTTGGACTGTATAAAAACAATTAATTCACAACCAAAACTGATATAAATTCATGTTAACGGAAAAAATCATCCATGACCATTGATGAACATATACTGAAGAATATACTTTGCACTAAGTGTTATCAAAACTGTACCTTCCAGTAACGACATCTGAAGAACCTTCGAGCAGGGTTTTCAATAGTCGTTGATGTCAACACATAGGCTTCTTCGTCATGATCGCATAGCCTTACTTCAATCGAACTATTGGAGGCTCTGTAATATCAATTGGTTGAACTCGTGTGAGAAGCACCTGACATGGTGGTGATGGTGAACTGTAGAAAATCTACCACATCGTCAAACTTCATTTTTTTTCTTAATAAATACATGGTGTGATGAAAATGTTTAAAATAATATCAGTTTTATATCGATCACACTGAATGCTTAACCAAATGAAAGAATCTTTGTCCAAGGAAATTTAAATGCTGACTATTGAGAATGCACATGATATCTGACTATTGTCTTCATGATTGCTGGTAAAAATATTTTTAGACTTCTATAAAGAAAACTATTTCACCCTAAAGTGCATCTTCAACAAAATACATTATTAAGTAAATCTTTCTTGTCCGGGCAAACTCTCACCGTTATATAACTATATTTTTCCAACAAATATACAAATTTTCTTACACTAAAAAACAAGAGTAAAAGCATGACATTTCTCTCAATATATATGCATTGTGGTTCAAAAAGTAAAAGCATCGTTTGTGCTCTTGTTATTTTCATCACTGTATAACTCAAAACTAAATATCGAACATAATCTCTTTCCCGTTTTATAACCATCAGGTTCACTATGTAATACACAATGATCTCCTTTTCAAAGCCATCAACTACACTTAAATCTTTATCTCAGATGAAAATTCAACTTCTACCAATTAGATACTACCCCTCATCAAACAAAACCAATCATTTTCAACACCAATCATAGAATTTCAAAGGCCAAGAACAAGAAATCCAAAGGTTAATATCACCACTTCCAATTTTATAAATGGAAAAAAAATGTATCCATTAAGAGATCCTAGACAATGAGCAAACACATTGGCAATAAAAACACATTTCTGAAACCAACAATACACTAAACAAACACATTTTTGAAACCAACAATACACTAAACAATCACACAGAAAATTTCTGAAACCAACAATACACTAAACAATCACACAGGGGATAACACGGACGTCGACACGGGATTGGTGACCGTGTTACGTCCCGTGTCGACAATAGGAAAACAAGGCAGCAAAGAAAATTGTTACACGGACTGCGACACGGGCTTTGTGACCGTGTCACGGACCGTGTCGCGACAACAGCGACTAAAATGACACATTCTCCTTCATTTTCCCTTATAAAATTTTGCCCCTTCTCACATATAAAACCCTACAACAACATCTTTTTGCATACTTTGCAATTTCAAAGCCTTCTCATCCTTGAATTAGCCAATAATCAATCATTTACAACAACAAGTTCATAGTTGTTCAATTTTTTAAATCTTTTGGAACTTCAAGTATATTTTTGAACTCACCTTTGGGGGAATACCAAAATTGAGAAGGAATATCATACCTTTTGGAGAAGAAGGAGAAGAAATTGGTGGATGGAAGAAGAAAGGAGAAGAGATCGGTCGTCGTCGGAGGGGGAAGAAATTCGCTTCGTTCCTTTTTCTCTTATCTGTGATGCGCGCAAGAATGGGGAGGAAGGAAAAGTCAGATCTATTTTTTGTGTTACGTGGAAGGTGAGTTGGATCTGGGTGAGGTGTAAACACATGTGTCCGATGACGTGGCAGGAAGAATTGAGTTGGTGTGCCATGTCATTTTTCCGATGGCCACGTCATTAAGTTTTGGCCGGAAAATCTGTTTGAGACACAATTGCAAAAATTAAACAAGGTTTGTATTTTTTGTGCAAAAATTAAAAGGTTGAGTTTTTGTTGCAATTTAAGTAAAGGTGGTGATTTTTAAGGCAATTAACTCATATATAAATGATTTTTTTTTTCTCTTTTAAAAGTATTGGCCTTTAATGAGAATTAAATAATAGTATGTGTAAGACCTTAGACCGTTCTAAAAATAGATGTATGCAAGTAATATAATAATAGTAACATATTTTTAGAAATTTATATCCAATTCGGGATCCCGCCCATTTAGTGGGAGACAGAGGGAACAATTTTCATAGCTTCCTATGTCCCTCAACCCTAGCCACTATCTTCACAATTCAAAATTTGAACGGTCTTTTCAGCTTCCCACGTTCCACCAACTTCTCAAGCTTCAACAATCTCTCTTCACAATTCAAAATTTGAACACTAGTCCTTCAGCTTCCAACGTCCCATCATCTTCCAAGTTCAAAAGCTTCAACAATCTCATCACATTTCAAAATTTGAACCCTCATTTCAGCTTCCCGCGTCCCACCAACTTCCCAAGCTTCATTAATGGTAGTCGTATACGACGAGTCCGATCCTCATATTCCAATTGATGCTTACCCTTTGCGAAGGTCTAGCGCGAGATTGAAGAAGCAGGGGACGAGCGAGAAATCGAATCACTCCCTTAAAAGGAAAGCAGATTCACCAGCGTCCGTTAGCAAAATGGTTGGTACGGATAAGAAGAAAAGGACCCAGAAGCTTCCTGAGTTCACTGGGGATAGCAAGGCACCGGAAGTGCTCGCTGATGGCTGTGATGTTGCGGCCGAAGTTCAGAAGACTGTTCATGAGTCACTGGAGGTGCTTGCCGATGGCTGTGATGGAGTAGCCACTGTTCAGAAGAATGTTCATGCCAAGGTGATAGACACTCTTCGTGCTTTCAACAAGCACTACCTCCATTTTATTCAGGTAATAATTTCTTTTGTTGTTTGTTATTTTGTTTCTCTTTTTCTTTTTTCTTTAAGACGATTCACGGTCATTTATGTTCTCTTTGGATAAAGTGAAGTTGTTCATTTTTTTCAAATGTAATGTATTTGTTAACATGAAATGTGGATTTGGCCTTGAGGGTAACTTGTCTTTGACCTTTTAGCTTCTCAATGAAAAATCTTCCAAATGAACGTGCGTGTGTGTTTGTGCACCTGTGTGTTTTAATATCTCCTATTGGTAGAAAACTGACGACCTTTGTGACTTGCCTCCTCGAAATTTGCAGGAAGAAGAGAACCGCTGCGCGAGGCTGGAAGCTGATAAGAAGGTCAGGGAAAAGGACACAAAATCAAAGGTTTGTTCAGTGTGTCGTTTTTGTTTTCCAACAGCAAATTCTTTGAATGAGTATTTCACATGATTCAAGTCACTATACATTAGTGTAGAATCAATGTGAAACTTCATCAATGCGGAAAAGAAATCTAGCCTCGTAGTTGTTGCTATTTGTATTTTTTATTATATTGGTTTTCCCTTATTTTTTAGTGTAGAGTCAATTAAGAAGTTCCTAACTTTTATTGTAAACATGTGCAGAAAGTGGATTCATCTGAAGACTATAAAAAGCCTTCCAAGCGACCTGATTTGAAGGCTATAACAGAGGTAATCTTGTGCAGTGACCGAAATTATAAATGAAATTTTCATAGTTCTTTGCAAAGGTTTGAGTTCAGAGTGTTCTTGGCTTGCTTATTTAGAAATATAATGATATGTGATTGTTTCTTTTTTGGTTAACCGTGGTGTATTTTGAAAAAAAATTGTATATGTTTTGTTGGTAGTGAGATTTGAGTTTGTATTAAAATAATATTAAAAATAAAATGATTAAAATTTATTTGATGTAAGTAGGATAGAGATGATTCAAAGTGATAGGTATTTAAAATATGTGAGTGAATGAATAATGAATTAAAAGTTGACGAGATGTTTAACAAAGTTTAATTGATATTATTTAATTATATTAATATTGAGTATAGTGGGGTTTAGTTAAAGTTGAGTTAGATTTTGAGTTAACATTGAATATTTTTTGTTTATATTTGTAAACAACACACTCGAGTTTCTCTTATTTGTGTAAACAAACACACACTTAGAGTTTCATTTATTTTGTTTTTTGAGATATTCACGAACGTTGCAATGGGTAATAATTAATCATATGTAAAAGTAATTTTCAGTTTTGATTAGTCATTAGTGACTCTAAGACATATGTGATTGTTTGATATAATCATGTCTGATATGCTTTTGTCAAAGATTATTATTGTGTTGCAATGCTTGTAGTTGCTGTTTTTTGGTCTTCCATTTATTCATTCATGGATGTTTCATTTTTGGTTATTTAAATGGCAGATGATGAAGACTGGAGCTACTTTGTATCCTGATAAGAGATTTGGCTCCATTCCAGGTTTTGGTGGTTTTGAAAATGTTGACTTCTTTGCTAATATATTCTTCCTTAAATCGCAAGTTTTTTTAATATCACAAGCCATCTTGCACCAAGAGGAGCTATAGGAATCCTTTTAACTATTTTCTATAAGATGCAATCTTGATTGTCGGTTGCCAAAATATCATTGAAGAAATTATGACCAAGTTTGTAAAATATTTTCAAATGCAAGATTATGTTTCTCTATGTAATATGTGTGTATTTGTGTAAATAGAAGAAAGTATTTATTCTTATATGAATGACAATCATTGTATTATGTGCGTTGGTGAAGTTTTTGGAGCTACAGTAAAGTTTACTGCTCTTCTCTATCCCAAGAGAAATGCTCAAGCTCAGGGTTCTGTACTATGAAGTGAATTTCCGCCTTTTGTTTAGTTTACAAAATAACCAAGATTAGTATTATCCACAAATCTTTTAATTATCTTAAATTCTTTTTATTTAGTTTACAAAATAACTGTCTGTAATCTTAACTGTAGTTATAAAGATTAGTATTATCCACAAATCTTATTTTGAAATTAAAAAAATTAAGTTTACTGGATAGCAAAAGAATTGTGGTAAAAGAAATACCTGATTGAAGTTCTGACGAATTTGGTGATGACAGGTATTGATGTTGGTCATCAATTCTTTTCACGGGCTGAGATGGTCGTCGTTGGATTTCACCAACATTGGCTCAATGGAATTGATTATATTGGGAAATCTGCTGTTTCTGGGAGAAAGTCACTTAAATCATTGGTAAATTTGAACTTTGATTATGCTTACATTATTATCTATGTTTAGTACTATGATAGTTGAATTAGCTATGTGAACAAAATATGTGATAGACACTCGGTCCCTGAAAGAGTTACTTATTATTCTGGCATTATTGATCTGAAAACATTAGTTTTGGTAGACCTCATTCTCCATGAGAGCCATTACACTATTTAGGGTACCCTGTATTAACATACAAAAACATAACCTACTGTCCAGAAGTCGAATATTTGACTAGTGTTTTGATCATTAGTCAAGTGTCGAAGTTGATGATAGTTGCAGAGTAAGTTTTGTAAGTATCTTTCCACTTGGATATATTTCCCGGGGGGCCATTTAATTAAAACTTTTGGCAGCTGAGTTTCGGCATTGTCAGGAGTTAGGTCAGTCCTTTTACACCTATGTTGTCTTTCTATGTTCCCTGCTTCCTTTAACTAGAAAATACCATTTGCTGTTGCGTTTTTGAGACATGCTGCATCATCTACTAGTCTACTTGCCATAACTGGAAGTACTTTCGGCCTATTTTGTAGTGTTCCACTCACAATTTCAACAACAACATAACCTTTTAGTCCCAAGCAAGTTGGGGTAGGCTAGTTATGAAACCCAAGAGAACTAATGTTCCGCTCACAATTATGAAACTAAAATACTTTTGTTCTCCCCTACATTTTGATGTTTTGCATCTCAACACAAGGATGCTTAGTACTGATGTTATCTCGCTCTTTTTTTCTCTCAAATTGTGTGTATGTGTTTCTGTGCCTGTCGTATTCCACAATGTTTTGCTTCTATTATGTCAATATTAGATCCTTAAAATTAGATCAACAGGTCTTTGCTTTCCTTTTTCTTAGTTGCTTGTTTCCCTACTGGATTGCATGTTGTATTATCTGAAAAGTTTATTTCTGGCTTTGGATTTGCAGGATCTGGGGCAGTACAACCTCCCACTTGCTATATCCATCGTGTTGTCCGGACAGTATGAAGATGACTTAGACAACTGCGAGGAAATTGTGTACACCGGGCAAGGAGGAAACAATTTGCTCGGGGATAAACGCCAAATCAGTGATCAGAAGCTCGAAAGAGGCAATTTGGGTCTGAAGGTATGTAGATTTTATTACTTTAATCATATCCTCTTGTTGGAACTTTGATTGCCTTTATCGTTGCATAAGAAATAGAGATTCCTATCCTCGACCCCACCTAGTCCATTTCATGATGAGCATGAGATCTGTACCAGCCAGGGTACTTTTTCTGTTCATCCGGTCGGTCATTTGGGGATTCTTGGATATAACATTTTTTGGATTTGTTTAGATATTTTGGTTTGGTTTGGTTATTTTTGAAAAAGGTGATATGGTTAGTTGTTAGTGGGTATATTTAAATAATTTTAAAATAAAGTAAATAAAGTTGATTTGATGTAAAAGTAGGAGAGAAATGATTTGAAGTGATGATTAGTTAAAATTGTGTGAGTGGATGAAGAGTGAATTAAAGTTGATGTGGTATGTAAGAATGATTAATCATTTGCTTGATATTATTTAATTATATTGTTAATATTGATGATAGTGAGTTGAGTAAAAAAAAAGTGGTTTGATCCAAGAAAGCGCAGTTTGGATATTTTTTGGAAATTGACGCAGTTACTAATTCGTGAACTGGCCATTCATATGGTCATACCACGTATGTAAACCTCTGCAACTAAGTTATTTTGTCCAGTAGTGTTCTTGATTTAAATTGAATCATCCTGGTTGCCCTTAATGGTTTTTGTCATTGTAGTCTAACGGTTTCTGTTTTCAACTGGAGTTAGTTTCGCATTCAATATATTCAGAGGTTTGATATTAGATAATAGTAGCTCAATCAAATGTCATATTTAGGCTTCAATTAGCCTGTGAACATGAAACCTTGTCTCCAGGGTCGTGGTTGTGCATTTTAATTTGTCGTATATCATGATAACTTAATCAGATTTCTTAACATGTTATTAGCATATTCTTTCGAAAAATGTTCGGTAATGAAAACTCCTTTGGAAACTGTCTTTTGATCTTTAAATTATTGTTCTCTACAGAATTGTATGGAACAGTCTGTGCCTGTTAGGGTGGTTCGTGGACATAAGTGTCAAAACAGCTACGTGGGCAAGGTTTATACCTATGATGGCTTATACAAGGTTAGTTATTATATAACAGAGAAATGATGGTTTATTAAAAATTCGCTGTGGAGATTTTTATATGTATTGCTTTGGTATATTTCTTGTTCCTTAGGTTGTTAATTATTGGGCAGAAAAGGGAGTCTCTGGTTTTACTGTTTATAAGTATCGACTAAAGCGGCTTGAGGGACAGCCACCTTTGACGACGAAGGAGGTACTATGACCATCAATTATTATAAGAAAAAATTTTTATTCCAATAGGTTTATATATGCTTGGCATGGTCATCATCTAACATGTAATTTTAATCTAGAAATGTTTTCAGAAGTGTCTATAACATGTTGAAGAGTTTAGTCAAGACTTGCACTATAATCTGCATAGTTATTTTTTTTACGATGCTTTAGTAGCAATTACAACAAATTGAAAAGCATTAGTATAGTTTGTTATGAAAAATATAGCTCAGTGTTTTGTGAATTTTATAAATATAAAACGGGTCTAATTAGCTTTGGTCAAGGCCTTCATGAGTCATAGGGCGTCGGGTTTCTAGCCCAAGTGGCCCTAACCAGTCATCCTTGTGGTTCATATGTTTACTTTTCTAGGCAGTGATATTCCTGTATTTGCTTCTGTTGACAATTGTAATTGTATATTGGATAATGTCTGGATGATTTCCCTTTATATTGGATAATGTCTGGATGATTTCCCTTTATATTTTTAACTTTTTAACCCGACTCCTGTTGTGTATAGAAGTATATGTTTCATCTTCTAGAGCGTCAACAGTATACTCTGCATATATTGCAGGTGTATTTTACTAGAGGCCGTATTCCCAAGTCCTTGTCCGAAATTAGAGGGTATGGTTGATATTAAAATTTCTGTACTATTGTTGTCTTTACCATTTCTGTATTTTTTTGTTCTCTTATTTCAAGCAAATTTATAATGTTGTTTTGTTTACTTAAATTGAATAGACTTGTGTCTGAAGATATTACGGGGGGCCTAGAGGATATCCCAATCCTTGTCACTAATCTGGTTGATGAGCCTCCGATTTCACCTTTAGGTTAGTTTCATTGTCTCTTTTGGTCATTCTGATTTGATATCATTTCCTGCCCTTTTCAAATTAACTATCCTTTATGATTATAACATGTTGTGTTGTACTGGTTTGATATCATTACATTAATTCTGGTCATTTGTAAATTAACTTTCCTTGAAAATCACCTTAAATGTGCTCATCACTTGATGTGTTGTTAAAGCCAGCTATTGGCTAGGATAAAATACATGTGGGTTCCATCATTTTCCTTGGATATTTGCTGTTCTGGTAAATGATTTTGGAATCATTGGTTAAACCATTTCAGCATCTGTTGATATAGCAATATATTGTACTCTTTAGATCCAGGGGCAGCCATTTTTTATCTAAAGTTTCAATATCCTTATAAACTTTTTTAGTTGCTACTGACTTTGTCAAGTGAACTTCTTTTTATGTTAAGATTCAGGTTTTGTTTACATCACGAACATGAAGTACAGCCAGAATATAAGTGTTCCCACGATTGCTCCTGTGGGATGCGATTGCAAAGGCAGCTGCACGGATGCCAGGAGGTGTGCTTGCGCAAAACTTAATGGTGGAGATTTTCCTTATGTACACCGTGATGGTGGAAGGTAATAGTCTTGCATCGAGCGAGTATCCTGTAATTTTTTAATGAGTATGGTTGTACAGGCTTTGTCATTTTTTATTTTGTTTTGTTTTGTTTTTTTTTTTTTTATTTCCACCTGAATCATGTGAACGTGCTGAAACACTCATCTTATTAACAATTCTGTACTGCCATTGGAAAGCTTACTGATATATTGACTGTCATATATTTTATAAAACTTTTTTGTCTTGTGTCATTTTGGCTAGAGTTGTTGTGATTGTATGCCAACTTTAATCTGAAATAAGTTACTGTTTGACAATATTACTTTCTTTTCACTTGCCAGGTTAGTTGAGCCCAAGGCAGTGGTGTTTGAGTGCGGACCAAAATGTGGATGTGGGCCTAGTTGTGTCAATCGGACCAGCCAACATGGGCCTAGGTTTCGATTTGAGGTGTGTACAGACATTCATTCTTTTGACATGAACAATGTTTCTAGTATGTGCTTACCAATACATGTTGATATTGTCAGGTCTTTAAGACTCCGAAAAAGGGTTGGGGTGTCAGATCATGGGATTACATTCCCTCTGGTGCTCATATATGTGAATATATAGGCCTCCTTAGGCGCACTGCAGATTTGGACCTTTCAGCAGATAACAGCTATGTCTTTGACATAGACTGCATTCAGACCATGAAAGGTCTGGATGGACGAGAGGTGTGTATGCTGTTTGTGCTGATTACGTTTCTTTCCATGCTACTAATTACAAGATATAAAATTCATGACATATTTTCCGACTTCTCTACTTGGTTTTTGCTTATGCCAGCGCGATCATTTCTTAAACAAGGCTCATTTTCCTAGTGATAGTTCTGTTTCAATGGAGAGCTTCTTCCCCATTATTTCCTTTTTATTTTATCCATTTTAAATGGTTGAATTCATCTGCTGAAATTTATTAACTGCAAATTGCAAGTCAAGTGAGTTTATGTCGTAGAAGGTGGATGAACTCTGCAATAATGCCCCTCTTTTGGCCTCCTTTTGTTTTACTAATTGACCATTTTATGTTGTCTTTTTCACCTCTGTTCACTGGGATGGGTGGGTGTGTACTGACTTTTTCGTGTAAGGAAGCTTGAAAAGTCAATCAATATACTGTAACCGTTTTGAGGTGGGCATCTTATTGTTTGCATTTGTCTTGATCGAATTTTTTCTGGGTACCATAATCCTGCTTAAATTTCTTTTTTCTTTCCATCTCAAGCCTTTGTTTCTGTGTTCGGGTCTATTTTAACTTGTTTGGAGTCTTTTGGAGGGTTTCCGTTGCACATCTATTAACTTTTCAATTCCGGACAAAAAAATAAAATAAAAAAATAATCAACATCTCGATTGAGGACTATTACCATCCCACACTTATACATAATAACTGATCAGTAACTAATTAGTGTAAGACAAACATAATTTGCTTTCTTTTTGTTGGCCTTTCATTTAATTGGGTATTTTTATGTTTGGTACTAAAATTTTAATTTTCATTACAGAGCCGGCTTGCTGATGTCTCGTTGCCATCTCACTTGCTAAAGTTTAACGAAGAGGCATCTGAAAATGTTCCATTTTGTATTGATGCCGGCAAAACGGGCAATTTCGCTCGATTCATAAACCACAGCTGTCAACCTAACCTATTTGTCCAATGCATGCTCTCGAGTCACCATGATCTGAAGCAAGCCCGGATTATGCTGATTGCAGCCGATAACATACCGCCACTGAAGGTGCCTTTCTCTTCCTCCTTTACATGCCTGTGTGATTATTTAGCCATTGCATGGTGATCAATAATACTTCTTCTAATTGACAATGAGAAGGCCTTTTTTGTTTTTTTGTTTTTTAAATTTCAGAGGGTTATACAGGTGAATAAAACCTTTGAACGCCACTCCCCGATGTAATTTTCAGTGATAAAACCCGGATTCTCTTTGCTGTTTGATTCCTTTAATTTTCCTTCTGTTTCTGCAGGAGCTAACATATGACTATGGCTATGCCTTGGACAGCGTCATGGGGCCAGATGGCAAGATACAAAAGTTAGCATGTTTCTGTGGTAAAGAAGGGTGCCGAAAGCGGCTATTTTAGGTAGCGTTGGCCGAAAAGGAAATGTGGTTGCTTTCTTTTTGTGAATTCATATGATAATCCCCCATTATTTTGCTGCCATAATATACACTGCATGGTGGTCATTCAACAAACACTGATGTCCTAATTTAACCAAAACTTGTTTATTTTTGGAGGCCAAGTGACCTTTATCTTTTGTATAGATATTGGATTGAGAGGGGGTTCTGTGATAAGTAGTAAACTGGCCGTTTTTTGTTGTTTTTTTTTTAATGTTGTGTAGTTAGAAGTTGGTATTGGAAGAAAAAATGGTCAATGTTAGTAATATATGTCGTGTGGGGCTTCGATAGTTTTTTTCCCTGCTGTTGTTATTAGTTCCAATGGAACAGAAGTGTTGCTATATATAACTACTTCGAGTACCATTACACTAGTCTTATATCTGTCCAAGCTAAAGTCGTTATGATATTATTAAATGCATATTTCAATTTAAAATGTCTCATCCTTATTGTTGAAAACGAAAATGTTTTGGGCTGGAATGTTTCGAAGTCTTGTTTATGAATTGAACCTTATTTGTTGTGAGTCCATTTTCTTAAATTTGTTTCCTGGCTAAACTACTCACAAACTACGTTGGGATTTTTTTAACTATACTACACGTTTTGACTTTAATTGCATTTATACCACCTATATAAAATATATTGCATTAATACCTAACTTTACCAAAATAATTAATATTAGGCATGAAAAAAAAAAACGGTCATATCCCCTTAATTTTGGTAATTGATGAGATTACATTTTCCATGATTTTCGGCTACCAAAAATAATAATGGTCTTTTCTCTTAAATATGACAACTGATTTGTATTATATTCAATCACTTCATTTTTTATTAAAATCAAATTATATTTTTCCCTTCTGGTAAAAGAAGTATATATTTCGTATATACTGATCATATACTGTACATATACTACAACACATCACAAAACAATAGAGGCGCACGATATAAACTATACATATACCGAAAATATACTGAATATAAATCATACATATACTGAATATGTATAAACCATATTCATTAGAGGCGCACGATATATACAAAATATTTATATTTTATTAAATATAAACCATACATATACCAAAAATATACTGAATATATACGATACATATAATAGTGAGAACGATACAAACACGATACAGTATGAGGGGGATGAAAATATACCGAAAATATACTGAATATAAACCATACAGAGGTAGAAAAAAATTCACATACACAAAACACCAATCCAAATGAAAATCATTAATCAAGCCGTAGGAAAAAAAATATATATATATTTCTGTCGCAGACTTATCATCCTGCACCTCTGTTCGTTTTTCACGAGCAACCAATCAAAAAGGTCTATGCACGGGATAAAAATCGAATAGTTCCCAGCCCTCGATCGAATTTGCAGAGGCCGTTCTCTTTCGTTTCAAGCAAGCAGCAGTCGTCTCCTTGTCCCTTCGTCCAGAAGCATCGAGCATCATCCCTACTCGTCGGCGTCTAAGCAGACCATCGTCGTGCGCCGTGAGGGCGGCGCTAGGGGCGGCGTGAGGGGTGGGGTTTGGCGGAGAGAAAGCAAGATCTGGAGAAGAGGGAGAGATGAAGGGAGACGATGGATCTGGTTTGGTGAGAGAAAGCAAGATCTGGAGAAGAGAGAGATGAGGGGAGACGATGGATAGGGTTTGGCGAGAGAAAGCAAGATCTGGAGAGAGAGAGAGAGAGAGAGAGAGAGATGGGGGGAGTTACAATGTAAATAGAAAATCAGATTTTTATATGCAAATAAATATAACAAATTTAATTAGTTTGTAAATACTTGTATTGGAGATGTAATTATGTAATAGTTTCAAATTGTTTAAGTGGAGGATGTAATTTCCTCAACTACTTTTACTACAATTTTTTTTTTCGAATTACAATTTTATGGTATCGAAATATTATTTTTTCATAAATATTAAGATAATTAATTAATATTTTAATTAAAAAGACAATCAACTTTTAGAAATGAATTATATTTAAAACACTATCATATTAGCAAAATTATAGTTAAAATTTCTAAGATTTTGTTCTAAAAAGGCATATTGGTTGTAAAATTTACAAAAAAACTTATCGAAAGGATAATTTATGTTTTTTTCCCTTAAATTGTAATTTTTTATATGTAAATTGTTCAAGAATAGTTTTATTAAGAAATGAAATAGTAACAAGTTCCACCATGTTTACTTAGGGGTGGGCGGATGGTCCGGGATTTGACCTACCGGTACTTGTCCCCTTTTTTTTAACCGGTCCGGGACGAGACACCGTCCCAAATGGATCGGTATCAATTGGGACCGGGACAAAACAGTTTGGGAATGAGACAAAACGGATTAAAAAAAAGTGTGATTAGCGTATTTTTATATGCTTCATTTTATCGCACTTATATATTTTTCGACTTATTTATTATTTTTAGATGGATATATTTGTTTTGATTATTTTATGATTTATTTTCTGTATTTTTGGGCTCAATAGAAAACGCAAGTATTTGAGCCAAAGAAGTCAAATACACGTTGCCCACATTAACGGAGGATTTATAGAGTAAATCACACCCTGTACAAAACATATCTTTTTTATTCAGATATTCTATGACGCCCATTAGGGTATCATAAGCTATGCCACATTACGATGTGGCATATGAGGTGGCCTTTTTGTTTTAAATTATCAATTCCATGGCATATATGATGTGGCATTTTTTAAGATTTAATCAATTAAGAAACCTTCCATAGGATTTGTTGCGTTGCTTTCCTTATTGTTATATGCGTATGGGGAATAAATTAAATATAATAAAATATGCTATAAATTAAACTGCATATTAATTTGATATGAATTAATTTTGAATTGATTATACAAAGTTTATCATTTCTACCCACAAAACTTTACATTTCTGATATCATCTTATTGCTTAAAATTACAATTTTTTTTTTTATTTTTTTCTGATATCATCTTGTTGCTTAAAATTACAATTTATTTGTTGGATGCTTAATTGAACATTCACCCTGTATGTAAAATAATTATTGTATTCTCACCGTCAAATGGGAAAGTGATCAATTAAGATTTAAATAATTGAGATTTAAAATATGTGAACTTGAATTCAACTTTAAGTTATTAAGAAATAAAATATAGGGAATGCGTATAGACTAGTGAAGCTCTTCTTCATTTTAATGATGGGGGTATGAATGCTCAATATAACATCATATATGCCACTGGAAATATTAGGTGTATGATTTTGGGAACAATCCTATTATGGAGGGTTTCTTAATTGATTAAATCTTAAAAAATACCACATCATATATGCCATGTAATTGATAATTAAAAACAAAAATGCCATCTCATATGCCACATCATAATGTGGCATGGCTTATGGTACCCTAATGGGTGTCATAGAATTTCTGCTTTTCTATTTGCAAAATTACTAGATTTATGACATTAATTGCAAAATTACCATATTTTATAAAATATGATTAATCTATATATATATATATATAAGAATTATCATTTACCAAAAATAGTAGCAAAAAAATAGGTCAAAATTTAATACAGCCTATAAATAGTAAGTTTTATTATTTTTCTTCTTTTTTTCCTTAAAAATCATACATAAATGTTATCTTAAATTTCGGGCTTTGGTTCATTTTATTATTTAAAAAATCCGGATAAGATTTATTAAGTGCGTATGTTTTTATTTTTATTTTTTTCTTAGAAACAACGAACAATATTAAAATTTCGGTCTCTATATTTGTAAAATCTCAATTCAAAATATAACAAAAGTTTTAGAATCTCAGTCTTTGTATTTGTGCCTTTAAAAAAATATTGAACGCTAATAATATTCTTTAAATTTCATAATCAATCAATTAATCTTAATTTTTTAAAAATTACTATGTTTATTTTTTACTAATATGCATAAAGTAAAAATAATTAATTCATCTTTAAATATATAATTTATAATCTTAATATACTATCATTTGGTGTAGACATTTATAATCTTAATATTGAGTGATTGAATTAGGGTACTCCCCAGGTTGATTGAATTACTTTTAGGTGATATTTAAAATAGTAAAAAAAAATGGAATTAGGGTACTGCCCAGGTTGACTGAATTACTTTTAGGTGATATTGAAAATAGTAAAAAAAACTTGACACAGCTTGGTTGGTCCTAGGTGACTAAGTTATGTATCAGTTCGACCACTCAGATCGATTATTGAACCTAAATATAAATTTTATATTAAAAATATTTTATTACGTGAATGTGATTTAGTCCAAAATTTCAAATAATCATATTAACAATACTTTTATGACAACATGTTTAATAATTTATGAATATTTATATATCATTTTATTAATATTTATGTAAATTAAATAATATTTTACTATAATATTTATTAATGTACAGTAAATATAAGGTTTTCAGAATTGGACCGTCATCGAAACGATCAAACTATTGTATTAAATCATTTGTGGTTTGTTCAGATTTTAATTTATAAACATTTTAATATATATATATATATACGTATATATATATATATATGGTACTTTTTGTAATAAATTTAAATAAAATGTGTTACTTAGATATCTAGACAATTTATAAATTCAAATGTTTAATAAATAATTTATCAATCCCTATTTATTTAAATATGTAATTTTATTTAAAATAATTTTAAATATAACAAAATTTACTTAGAATATCGTATCGATCCTACCAGTCCAACCGACTGGTGTTGACGGATTCGAGAGCAAATATTTTATTCCAGCGAACTAGACTGGTTATAAATCGGTTCTCGGTTCATCCGGTCGGACTGTGTCCAGCTCGGTTTAATTTAAAAACAATGGATAAATCATGATTAATGTTATTTATATATTTAATTTATAATACAATCGTAATATTGTGTTCTCGTGCATTGCACTGGCCACACACTAGTTTAAAGATGAAATGAACTGATCGTAGGTTTTCTCTCTCTCCTCCTTATCTCTTCTTCTCATTTTTCTCTCTCCCTCCCTCTGTTCTCTCTCTGTGTGTATTTGTATCAGAGTCGTTCGTCTCTGTTCTTCTTCTTCTCTTTCAGAGTCGTTTTCCTTCTTCTCTCTCCCTTTCTCTTTTCTCTCTTCTCTTTCTTCTCTCTCCCAAAAGTTTTAGCGTCGTTCGTCACTATCTTTGTCGTCACCTTCTTCAACATCCCATTCCCTCGGCCTCTTCTTCTCTAAATCAGATCGAATTATTACAGTTCCTGCTTGGATCATTGCTAGCAATTGGTTTGTGTTTGTTTAAATTTTTTAGGGTTTTTGGTTGTTATGGACAGAGGTGATTTGGGAATGATGATGGGAGAAAGGTGAGATCTTTTGATTTGGGGATCGACATGTTGAAAAACAAATGAGAAAACCCTAAATTGAAGGACTAGACGAGTCGGGTGAGAAAAGGACAAACGGTATGTATATCTTGCGTATATATTCTGTATATAAATCGAGCTGAAATTTGAATTTTGTGGTCTAATGTGTTTTTTGTATATGTTCTGTATATCTTTTGTATATATTCTGTATATTGACAAGATCGATTTATATTCTGTATATATTATGTATATCTTTTTGTATATCTGTTGTGTATTTTCTGTATGTGTATATAATCCTGATTGTGTATTTTATATGTATTTAGAAGATGACGTTGTTTGAGATTCAAATTCCTTATCTTTCTATTTTGTATTGAAACAATCTCCTAATTAATAGGATATATAAACTTACCATATCTTTTGTTTTTTTTAGTGCAAATCCTATATCCCCATTCATGCGCAATTTAAGGAACGCGTTCATATGTTTTATTTGATAACTTAATTTTGATATTCACTAATAAATGTAATGCATTTGGTAAGAAATAAAATCTACACCTTGGTACAAATACAAATATTTTAAAATCTTGTGGTAAACATAATAATTTCCCTAATTTATATTCTTTGTTTGGGAGATTGAGATTAATTTGTTGGTGAGCTAAACATGAAAAACAAAAAGAGGCCCAAGGAAACCAACCCAAAGTCAAGACGTGAGGGGAGAATTATTTTGGAGAAGAGAATTACATGCTTTATTTGGGTTGGGCATAATTTGGAGAGTCCACAATTGCCTGGAAGCAAGGATTTAATTAGGGGACATAAAGAGGAATTTTTTGGTGAGCTGCCAGACGCAACGCATAAACAGAAGAAAAAAAGAAAAAGAAAGCATTTGCGCAGAACAAAGAAAAAAGCAGACAGACGCGAGAACCCGATCAATCGCGGAAGGAGGCCGCACTCGTATACGAGGGAAATAATTAATCTATAAAACTATCAACAATTTGAATATATTGTGCAAAGGGAAAAAAAATTTTAACCTTCCAACATATGCCATTTTTTTGAATTGTCCATAAAAACTTTTTTTTGACAATTTGCCTCCCAATGTAATCGAAATTGACAACTTGCCTCCTCGATTAAAAATCCTAATATGGCACAAAATAGTTTTTAACTCAATTAATGATAAATTTTATATTAATCTCTAAAATTGATTTAGGGCTTTCAAGCCCATGACGAGACGAACAAAATGATGTATGATTTGTTGAATTCTGAAAACTGATACCTCTGTAATTGATCCACGAAGATAGTAGGAGCACGTGTATATAGAAAGAATTTCAATTCAAGTTTTCTGATAATCAAGATATCTGGTTTTCGATTGAGAGGTGTAATTTGAAAGCTAGTAGGACAAATTTTATAACGCATAAATCTTATGAAAATCCAACGGTCGGATTTTGATAAGTATTTAGAAAACTACTGATCATTAGCTAATTTTTTCTTAGGCTACTAACTCAGACCGTTGGATTTTCATAAGATTTATTTCGATAGAAAAATCAGATTTACTTCGATAGAAAAATCTTCCTCCAAGCTTTCACTTGTGTTGTCAACCTAGTTGTACACTAGATTGGTAAAGTATCATTTTTTAAATAATTTATGGACTGAAAGGGAATTATATCTACAAAATATTATTAATAAATTC